CTACAAATATTTCTGAGCTGTGAAGAACATATACATTAAGCCAGACTGGCTGTTGAAACTAGCGGTTCAAGCACAGGCTTGGGAGTCTGAGGGCTCCAAACCAACATCAACTAGTTAGTTATGGGGTCTTGGGTTCATCACTTAGCCTTACTGTTTCATCTGTTAGGGATTAACAGCAACTACCTTCATAGGGTACTTCTCAGGAGTAAGTAGCCTGTATGAAATATGTAATGGGTGTTCAAATATTAGGTCCTTCCCTATATGAATAAGCAATCAACAGTCTTAAAAGCATCTTCAGTGAGCTAAAAAAAAGCTAGAGACTTAATGTTAAATATGAATGTTAAATATTTTAAAAGGACTCTTTTTGATCAGTGGTGTAAATGACCGAAATAGATGTAATTTAAGTCAAATCAACATCAGGTACTCACTGAATGATTTAAGCTTCCTTCCTTGGTAGTGTAGATATATTATTTATGACAAGTCTAAACCTTTGGTGTAGACCTCAGTAACTTTGGCGAGTTAATGAAGGAGTAAGAAAATGAGTAAAACAGAACTCACTGTCGGTAGCACTGCCTGTGCTTGACTTCTGATGGCGAAAGGGGAGACAGTGAAACCTGAATCTGAATTACATGTGTTTGGCTCATGAAACATTCAGCACTACTGTGCAGCTTCCCATTGGAATGTGGAGGGCACAAAAATATCTAGTTCTTAAACCAGAAGACAAGTAGTTGTATATGAATAAATAAAAAGACAGGAACTGAAAAAAAAATACCTAGTTCTTGCTCCGTTTTTACTAAGATGGAGAGAATCACAGTGGCTCTCAGAAGTGTCCTGGATCCCATAATGTGCTTTGTGTAGTATAAACAACCTTTCCACATTGATCTCTTGAGATCTGTACTGCAAATGTGGCATCTGTACACTTCTGGCCTGGCCTCTTGTGGTTGAGGAAAGACATGCAACTGCACGACCACAGGAAGTCCCAATTTTATGGTCACTTTCTCACTGCTGGCTCCTAATATCGGGTGTCAAAGCCCACAGAGATTCCTACTGAAAATTACAATAGCCTATTTTCTGTAAGGAACCAGATGTGGACACTAAATTCTTCCTCAATCACAGTTACTTGTAAAAGATCCACTTTTAAAATAGGTATTCTAAATACCTTAACATAAAAAGTTTTCCTGCCAGGTGGTGGTGGTGCATGCCTTTAATTCTAGCACTCGGGAGGCAGAGGAAGACTCTGTGAGTTCGAGGCCAGCCTGGTCTCCAAAGCAAGTTCCAGGAAAGGCCCAAAGCTACACAGAGAAACCCTGTCTCGCAAAACCAAAAAAAAAAAAAGTTTTCCTGTATCAGTAAATTTAGAGGATTGGGGGTCCATCCAAAAGAGGGTAACTATTCACTCGATTCACTGGTAACTTGTAGCAAAAACTAAAAAAGATTTGGCCCAAATTGATACTACAAATTATAAATCTATTATATTAACACAAGCTACTGTTTATGTTGATTTACCTTTTGAAAACAAATAAAAACAACTAACCATTTACTAAGAGCTTTCTTTAGAAGATTTCCCCCAGAATTCTCTACTGAGGAGGTCTCCAGGACATGAGCTCTATTTATTAAGTGAAAAATGATGCCTCTTTCAACTCTTATGAACATGTATCTACCTTTTGCAAAAGTGCGGTCTACTAAATTCAAGCCTGTCTTCCATTTGCTAGACTACAACATATAATCACAACCCATTCAAGATAAAACATTTTAACTATATGCTGATTTAGCTTCCAAAGGACATGAAAATAAATTTCCTTGCAAAGCAGATCCTTAAGGAAAATTCACTGTGAAAACTGCTTGGCGGGCCTGGAGAGATGGCTCAGCAGTTAACAGCATTGGCTGCTCTTCCAGAGGATCCAAGTTCAAGTCCCAGCACCCACATGGCAGCTCACAACTGTCTGTAACTTTAGTTTCATCTCTACAGACATACATGCAGGCAAAACACCAATGCACATAAAATAAAAATAAGTAAATATATATATGTATATATATGTATATGTAAAATCTGCTTGGCACGCCATTATTGCTGGAGCAAAACATGAATAACAGAAGTCACTCTAGATACTGGCAGAATTAAAGCCATAATTGGGTGGAAGAAAATGGCTTTTTTATAGTAAAATCTGTTTCCCAATATTTTGCTATGAAAACTTTCATCTTTTGGAGACAATAGCAATCAATATTTTAATGGCCATTATTTGGTACTCAGAATCAGAAACATTTACAGCTTAATTTTCTTTTTGAAAAGGCTATAATCAAAAGACAAAACTATTTAATGCTTGAGTGATGGCATGAACAAAAGTTTGTTTCTGTTGTCATTCAAGGAAGATTCATTATCACCAACCGTCTGTCAGTGCACGTTTAGTATTTAAGTAGTACGCAAAGGTGGGGGCACTGATCGAAGGCACTACACAAATGGCCAACGAGAGGGGTGAACGAAAGAGAATGACAACTTAGTTTACTTCTGAATGCTATTGTCAAGGGGAGCTTTTTAGTTTATCTTCTCACACCTCCCTCATCAGCCTGACAGCGGCCAAGGCCTCTATAACATTGAAAGCCCACTTTATTTGCCAAGGTGATGGAGTCACACTGGTTCCACCCCGAGTCAGTTTAGCAAGAGCCAATATTTCAGTTGGAGGATGACGATACAATGATGCCAGTGAAAATTTTCTTTATTGTTCTTCCAGTAACAGTGACTAACTTGAGCATACTCATCACAGAAACTGTCTTCCTTGATCTAAATAATCCTCTTAGTAATCTTCGATTTTCTTAAAAGAACTTTTGTTTGTCTGGGTTTTGTTGTTTTGTTTTTGAGACAGGATCTCTCTGTGAGCTCTGGCTGACCTGGCACTCGTACTCAGAACAGACTGGCCTCAAAATCAGAGATCCTCATATTCTGCCTTCTAAGTGCTGGTATTAAAGGTGTGTGCCACCCCATTTACCTTCTGAAAGAATTTTTCACATGACAGCATCACATTACAACTAACTTTCAATACTATTGATTTGAATTAATACAGACTAGTACGTGCGAAGGCTGATGAGGACCGACTTCTAGCTATGTTTTAGGACTAGGACTTGAACTAGGGTCCTGTTCTACAGTTTCTCTCATTGAGCTACAACTTCTCTTATTCACATGTTCCCTTTCCTTCACTGCCTAAAAGATAACCTGTCATTGGCTGTATGTAGTCACATGGCAGGGTCTGAGAAGGAATGCTATGCACGAGTCGTTGGAAAACAAAAACTACTTTCCAGTGAGTTTAGGATATGGATTGATAAAAATTAGTGAGATCAGATATGCTGGTCAAAAATAAAAACATTAAAGCTGGGGTAAAATCTTGTCTTCTTTTAAAATTGATGTGATGTGTATGTGTAGGGTATGTGTAGGGTGTTTTGTCTGTGTTTATGTCTGTGTACTTGTTGCCAGAAGGCCAGAAGAGGTGTTGGATCCCCAGAAACTGGAGTTACAGACTGTTGTGAGCTGCCATGTGGGTGCAGGAAATTGAACCTGGGTCCTTTGGAAGAACAGCCAGCCAGTCCCTTAGTCTTCAAACTAAGGCTTTACATTGTGGAAAGTGACTGAGAATATGCAGATGTTTACGTGAAATAAAGTTTTACAATGCATTTGAATGCAAACGGCCCATAGTGCTATTTGACCTCTATTAATAACTTGTCAGCTGGCTTCTCTGGACAAATGAGGGCTGTCGTAAAACTAGGAGCTTACTATTAAAACACAGCTTCAGAGGTTTACTTAGCTAACATCTTTTAAAAAGCATCCCCAAACCCATATATTCCAAGCCTGAGAAGCCTTCTTCAAATACTGTATTCATCCATATTAACAGCCTGCTGGAATAAACACCTTCCTGTTTGTACTTGTGATAACTGACTTCTTATTTCTCAACCAGCTAAACTGCACCTCTATAATTACCACTGATTTGTAGAAGACTTTAGGTGAAACTATATGAATGTAGACCTGGAAGTCTAGCTGCCATGCTTCTTCTTCAAGAATCATGCCACTTGAAGCCGTTGATCTTAAGTCTGCTGCGGACTGAACCCAGGGGCTCATGTGTTCTGGGCAGGTGCTCTGCCACTGGACTCTACTCCCACACCACAAAAGCATTATCTTTTGAAAGCAAAATTACACTTTCAGGTACATTTTTATAAACGAGAATTTAAAAAAAATGCAAGAAGAGAAGTTTATTTTAGATTGTACCAACTGATACTACTTATAGTATACCCACAGCAGACCTCAGTAGTGCTAAACGGTATTCAGAGCTTAATATAATCAGAAGTGCCTCTCCTTCATTAAGTTTCAGCAACTTAGAACTGTCTGACAAATTTGACAAAATTGGGCATTCATGTATTTTGGCTTCTGAGTTTTATATGAAGAAAATGTACACTATCTAAAGAGGTTTAGCTCAGTTAGTATCTACATTTAAGATTTGCATCTTAGAAGGAAAGAACATGCTGCCAAAGCCTGCTGGGAGCCAGGAAGTTATTACCAGAAGCTGTAAAGTTTTGATGAGGAGCTGTGGAGTTTGCCCTGCCTGCTGGGTTTCGGTCTCCCCGAGTACGCCCCAATTCTCCCTTGTAGAATAGGAACGTTTACTCTATGCCACTGTATATTTCTAGCAGGTAACTTGTTTTTTATTTTCCAGGGCTCACAGCTAAGAGTCTGCCTTGAGTCTCGGCTGAGATGCAGACTGGCACAGTGTTGGAACTTTAAGAGTACAGAAACTTCAGGAATTGAACTGAATGCATTCTGCATTAGGAGATGGCCCTGAGCCAGGTGTGGAATGCTAGGGTTTGAACTTGCACTGTTCTCCATGGGCTCGTGCATTTGAATACTTGATCTTCCCCTGGTGTTTCTGCTTTGGGTACCTTTAAGAGGTGGGGCAGAGCTGGAGAAAGCAGATTGCTGGGAAGGGGCACACGGGGGCTAGAGCCAGGCTCTACTTTGCCCTCCCCTGCTCCCTGCCTGCTGATGCGGCCTAGCCAGCTGCCTTGGGTCCCCATCCCCAAGTCCTGAGCTGCTCCGCAGCTGTGCTGTCCCTGCCAGGAAGGACTGGACACTTGCACGTGGTGAGTAGCACTTGTCCTTCCTCTCACCTCTCCCAGTTATTTTAACACAGCTGTGAGAAAGTACACCAGCCAAGCGCCCTGTCGGCCTGTCCTGTCCTCCTTCCCCACTCCTTTCCTTTCGTCCCTTCCTCCCTCTCCAGCTCTACACTTTGACAACAGCAATGCAAGCTGAAGCTGTACTTAGACTTAGACTTGTAAATACAAAAAATCAAGTCTGGGAGGAAAACAAAATAATTACATCAACAGAGTACATTACTCTGTACTTGAAAATGAAAGAATGAATGCTTTTATCTCTTCAAGTACATTTTCTCAGCATCTATAATTCAGTTAAAAAGATGGATTGAAATGGAAGTTTCTGTTTGCAATTTCCAGGATGACTCTGGGTAAATGTCTTATACCCTTGTTCTGCAAGTTCTCCTGTTTGTAAAGTGGCAATGACACTACTTGTTACAAACTACATTCCTACTGATGTTGTAAGGACTGAAACTAATGTATTTCAAGTTCAGGTAACTGTAAGTACTCAATATGCATTGGAGCACATGGTCACATAAAGACTTACATTTCTATTTTATTGAGATACATGATATTACATTTTGATGATTACTAAATAGCCAGCCTACCAGTTTATATATTTTACAAATTTAATTCAAGCAGTCAATGTATTAAATGAAGTAAGTCAATAGTATTTTCTAATGTTTTTCAGGTGTAAGATATTTCCATCTTCCTTAAGGACTTTCTATCTTAATAACAGGGGAGAAAAAAACAGGTCTAATATAGAAGAAATAATCAGTCAACAGATGTTTATTGTGCTTCTACAGTATGTCATGCACCATATCAGACATTGAGATTCAAGGATGAATAAGCATGTCAAAGGTCCTCAAAAAACTTAGGATAGAAAACTAAAAATATACCTTCCCTCCTATTCTTTTACTCTTAAAGCTAAGTAGGAAATAATTCTCACTTCTTCTAAGTCTTTATCTTTCTAGGTATCATTTCTATGATCTCAAGATGAGGGCAAACTACCCTGAACCTACACAATACAATCCACTGGTCAAGTCAAGCATCAACAGGCCTTCCTCAATATTCCTTTGTTAGAAATCATGTATCGAGCATCTGGGAAGGCAATTGAGACTGTTCTTAGGAGCACCATGAGGGAGGGCAGTAGAGTATGTAACTGTTCTGGATGATGACTTTGCACTCATAATGTGTATATGCACACACACATACTAAATACTACACAGACATAACTGTGCCTTCCAGATACCTCTAACTTCTAGATACGCTCATTTTGCAGCTATGTTGGAAGATTCAACTTCTCACAGTGTCTCTCTAGATGCTCTTGGGTTGCAATATGCTTACACAAAAATGTGAGCACTCTTAGGACATACATGCCAATCCTATGCTGATCCTTTGATGATTTCAGGAACGTATTGCTTAGCTCTAAGCCAAGATCTAAGATCGACAGCTAGCTACTTGGTAAATATATAGAATGTAGTCTTAGTATTACATTTTAACTAATTAGAGAGTAAAGAAATCACATATAAGGATATTTTACTGTCACCTACACTCATATATAAATTATCCAAACGAAGATCCCCCAATTATTCTTTGAAAATATAAACTAACAGATAATCAAGACTACTATAACTACAAACACATGAGCATATGTGCTAGACTCTAAGACATATGTTAGTTACAATTACAAAATGAACCCGATGGCAAATCATCTTTTAAAATATTTGTTTATACCCAGAGATCAATGCTATTCTCAACTATATACAGACAAGTTTCTTTTTGCAGTGGGCAGTGGTTAAGGCAGAAACTCATCACCTGGTCATGGTGCTGAGAGTGACCGTTGAGTGTTCAGCTCTAAATGGGACCTCTTTTCACCACCCTCCATTAAGGGTCAGTGAACATTAAAGAAGAGGAACAGAAAACAATCTAGAAACAGAAGATGGGGAGGAGTACTGTGAAATGTCTTCTGGACACGGCTTGGCTACTGCCTCATGAATTCCACAGCAGCTATAGTTATCTGCACAACATAGAGCTTGTCAACATTCCAGGATGGATCAGGGAAGAGACATATGAGGCAACCCTCTCATCTAAGGAGTGAATGGCTGCTAGGGGAGGATGAGCAATTTTCTCAGGGATGCAGCCACTGGGAAGCTGTCCATGCTCCAGGGACTAGTACTATACCCATGCACATGCAAACACCCCTTATTAAATTGTGTAGGTCATTGGGGGGAACAAGCAACTCTGAAAGCGGGAAGGAAAGTACTAGGAAGAAGGGCTGCAGAGTGCCTGGGGCGGGGCTAAGAGAAGGGGATGAAGGTGAACTTGATCAAACACATTGTCAAGAATTAAAAAAATGATTAAATAAATGAGCATGACCATGTGGACTTAACCTAAATGCATATCATGTCCTCAAATGAATAAATGTCTTGGTTTTGCTGTTGTTGTTGTTGTTTTGAGACAGGGTTTCTCTGAGATATTGTTTTGTTTTGTTTTGTTTTGTTTTGTATGAATAAATGTGTACAGACTCAATACTCACTGCATTTCAATTGTATCTTTTAGGCAATCCTAACTTATTTTTGTGTCAAATGATGACTAAATTCTGTTAATTATTATTTTTGCAGTTTGGTCTACTTTAGACTTAAAATTCCTTCACAACAGACCAAGGAAAAGACTAAGCAGAGATGTGGAAGATCAGTCAAGTTCTAATTCTGATTTCTACAGATGTATAAAAGCTCCCTAACCTGGGTATGACTACTGGTAGGCTGCCCAAGTTCCTATGGATGACCTTACAGCCATGCTCCAGGGAGACTGCATGAACTGAACTCAGTGGGGTAGAAAGAAGGGAGGGAGGGAGGCAGAGAGGCAGGCAGGGAGGCAGGGAGGCAGGGAGGCAGGCAGGTAGAAGGTGTGAAGGAGGAATTTGGGGTTGATATGACTAAGATATATTGTATACATGTATGACAATTTCTATGAATAAAAAAAATATTAAGTTTCTTTTTTAAAAAAAAATCCTAACATTTCTATTCTTCACATTTTTTCCTCTGAAAAAATAGGTAATAGTGTCTGTTCTATTACTCATGAGACAACAAAAATCCAAAATTTATAAAAACACAGGATACATATAAACCTGGCTACTCTTTAATGAGTAGACTTCCACATACCCCATTATCACTTAGTCTTTAAAAGAACTAAGGATACTGCATACAATCTTGCATTCAGACTCTGGAACTAACATTCATAAATAAATCATTACAAAATATCTCCGAAAGAAAATAAAAAAAAAAAAACATGGCATTTAATTTGATATTACTGAATTTCAGTAAATTAAATGCAAAGGGTGACCTTTGTTGGCCTCTGTGTGAAATATTTTACCTCTATAAACTCGTCTAGAACTTGTGCAGGACAGTTAGGTGTGACTCATACGTAAAGCATCAATTAGCACTATTTAGGGTGCTAGATGTCTATACCACTTTTCCAGACACAGTAGTGCATCACTCATTAAAGGTTTTCAACTTGCTTGCCCAAAGAATGCATATCTGATGCCATCATTTTCCATAGGTTGGTAAAATGATGCTAAGAAAGCGACTTTAGAGAGCAAATTTATTCTCAACTGGTCAGTTAATTATTTGTGTATGCATGCGCACATGCTGATGATTGAACCCACCTAACCAGGACTTCACTGAACTACATTCCCAGCCTAAATATTATTAATACTGCTAAACTCCAAATTTGCAAGTATAGGAGATTTAATTCGACCTATAAGCTATTTATCAACCTTGATCAATCTCTAAGTCTAGTTACCAGATAGCAATATGTTTCTGAAACTTATCTCATTATGATAATCCACTCCAAGAGCTTATGAATTCATCCCATATCTTTGGCTAGTGTTCTAATTTTACATGAATCTATTGTTGAAAAGTAGTTAACTGATGTATTATACATTTTGAATCTGTAGTGCCATCTGGGAGGAATTTAAATGATTTCAATTATGTGTGCATATTATGCCAAAGCACAAGATACTACTTTTTTCCTAATCTTATATTTAAAGGCAGAGCTAGCTAATTTGCTGTATGAAAAAGGTTCCTTTATATAGCACAGTAACATTATGTGTCTTAACAATTACAAAGCCAGTACTGAATCTCAGGCACAGCCACAGAAAACAGAGGATATATTACTCATTTCTTGACTAAAGACAGGGTCACATGAAGATAACCAAGTCCAGCTTACTTAGAAATCACATCTTAACATTTCCCTTTTACCTAAGAGATGAAAACTGTCACTCAGAGAGACAAAGTCACTTGCTTACTTGCTTAAGTGACTAGTACTGGTGGCTGAGCCAGAAGAACCTAAGTACAATCCCTATGTTCTTGAAATGGTCAAGAACATTCTGAACTTTTAGAGACCAAAATGACAACAAAACCATTACATTACAGATGAAAGCATCCTATCTAAAACACTTGGAACTGGAATTGCTTCAGATTTAAAACATTTTTTCATGTACATAATGAGGTACCTTGTGAGTGAAATTCATTTATGCTTTATATACACTTTATTTTATACAAGATTTTTTTATCTGCCTGAATGTTGACTATGAGTCACTACATGTGGTCAGATGCATAATCTTCCATTTGTGGCATCATAGTGATACTTGAATAAAAGTTTCAGTTTTTGAAGCATTTCATATTCCAAAATTCTTCATCAAGGATGTTCATTCTAAATTCATATTTTCCCATAAAGCTAATTCCTTCTTGAATCAAATTAGGTTTGGGATACATCCTATAAATTATTCCCATAATAAAACTGGTGGAAGAAAGCATGGTTTTAAATATAGACAAATTAACACTGCTAAGGTAATGACTGGTACTATTGTATGTTTCTACTGTTTCTGAAGCACATGTTCACAAACTTTAACACTTGTTTCCATAATACATCAATTAGAAAAGCAAGCATATATTATATTAGATGCATTATGGGGGATACTTTTTTCAAATACAGAGTTTTTTTAAAGATCAACTTATTTGTTATGTATACAGTGTTCTGCCTGCATGTATGCCTGCACATCAGAAGAGGGCACCAGATCTCATTACAGATGGCTGTGAGTCACCATGTGGTTGCTGGGAATTGAACTCAGAACTCCTAGAAGAGTATCCAGTGCTCTTAACCTGTGAGCCATCTCTCCAGCCCAAGGATACTTCTTTAATAAGTATTTTAAGCAATAACTGACTTCTTAAAATTAAAATTACATTTTTGGTATGTAAAAAGTAAGGTTCAGATTAATTCTGAGGCTTTATTCTTATATAAATATAAATACAATAGAAAAAGTTTACCAACAATTTCATGACTGTTCTCAAATTTACTGCATAGCTCACTGTTTACATAATTTTTAGTAAGAACAAAATTCCCCAAATATGTTTATTGTAGTATTCAAGTGTGTATGTTCAAGTGGATATGGAAGACTACAGTACGGACCACTTTCACCAACTTAGATCAATAGATATGCACAAAATGCTTAAATGACTGTGGATCACAAAAACTATTAAATAAGCAATCAGGCTGTGGATAAAGCTCACTGGTAACAAGCTTGCTTAGCATGTCAAGATCCTAGGTTTGATTCTTAGCACTGCAAAAACAAAAGCCAACAAGGAAACACACACATGCACACACAGGGGTTGGGGGGAATAGGAGGGGGAAAATGATTAATTTCTTTTACTAAACTGAGTCAGCAAAAGAAAGGTCCCTTCTATTATAGTTCCCATTCCTACATGTGTATCCTTTGAGTGATCTAGGGTGTGTAGGATAGTTAGGTAGTAGGTTCTAGAAGTTTGTAAGGTTTCCTAAAAGGTATTATGGACAAGGGTGTATCGCAGTGTTAGGCATGCCTGTCTAGCATATGTGACCTACTGGGTCCTACCACCCCACCACTGCAAAATCAACCAAACAACCAGACCACCACCTTCAACACTCTTTCCCTAGAGCAGTGGTTCTCAATCCTCCTAATGCTGTGACCCTCTTACATAGTTCCTTATGTTGTGATGACCCCCCCAACCATCAAATTATTTTCGTTGTTACTTCATAACTGTAATTTTGCTACTGTTATGAATTGTAATGCAAATACTGTGTTTTCTGATGGTCTCAGGCTACTCCTGTGAAAAGGCCATTTGACCCAAGGGGTCACAATCCAGACGTTGAGTACCCCTGCCCTAGTACTATATTTGTTTCCCTTTTTTACAGTACATAGGCTTAGTCATAAAGTAAGTATTTCAATGATATGGTCATATAGGAAAAAATTTTATTTGTTTACAAATATCAGTGTATAAGCTTGAATCCTTCAATTCACTTCCTGATTCCCTCTGATTTAATAGATATGAATTTTCTTCCTATCTATTATGAAGTATCCATCAAATCTTTATTTGTATAGTAATACCAATTAAATAAAAGGGGAACCCAGACATTTTTACTATAGCTTTTATTATTATTGTATGAAGGCTCATTTGTAAAAGAATCAATTTAAGACCTCATGTAACCAAATTAATTCTTTGTACAGGATGCTCATTGATAAATCAAATACAATGCCATTATCTTCCAAAAGGTGACCTAATATTCATTTGTAGATAATAAAGCACTTATACATTTTTAAATAAACAGAAACTATAAACAAAGAGAAAGGCATGAATTGCTAGTTATAGACATTTCTTCAGAGATTTAACATCTGCCTCACAACATCCCTGTGAGGTAGGGAGGTGGATTCAGGACAACAGTGTCACATGCGCCAAGATCACATGTAGAGAAGATGCTCTGTTATTTTTATCTATAGTTGTTAAGTTTCAAAACAAATAACATCCATGAATCAGTTCTATTTAGAAGTCCAAGAAAACCAGGTTGCTGTTTTTTTCCTTCCTCCATCAAAGGCTTTTCAGTCTTCTGAAAATTGGTGAAGCAAGTATCATGGCATTCTCCAAAGTTCTAACCATGAAGTATCTGCCGAAGTCCCTCTCTTCTTTCTCTAGATGGCGACAGCTTAGTTGTCCTCTCCACACAGAATTCAAGCAGGTGTCTTCTTTAAAAGAACGACTTTCTTTTCATTCTTCAACGTTAAAACTGCACAACTGGGTCTTTTGAAACTGCCATGCTTCTTCCAGAAGCTTCTCTCAGTCAGGATCATTTGTATCTTTCAATTAGAATCACTGCAGATGCTCTTCTTCCAAGGAAAATAGTGACTTCACTAAGTTAAAAAAATAACCAAGGCCAGAGAAGTTCTCCAGCAAGGAAAATTGGCTGTCTTCACAGTAAGGAAAAAAAAAAAAAATCCATCTTGGAAAACTGATTTTTTTTTTAACTTGAAAAAGACAAAAACAAAAAACCAAAAAACCACCACTATCCAGTAAGTATAGGATGAAAGGGAATAAAGAGTCCAACTTTTCCATAAAAAGAAAAAAATATTCAAGTAGAATTTTTTTTTTGAAAAAAAGTGGTAGTTGGAGAAAAGGATAGGAATCTATTTAGATACATGATATTTTGTATTTATTTCTCACTGCCTAATAAATCTTTCTCCTGCAAAACTCTAATATGCTCCTCTAATATGAGTTCAGGGCCTGATTCCTAGCAGGTCCTGTACGTGATAAGGCTCCTAAAATCCCATTAAAGATCCTTCTCTTTCTTTGTCATGGAACCTAAGACTTTGTGGCCACATATAATCATGATAAAACAGTTAATACCTCTTGAAAGAGGTATGACTACCAGCTGGGTGGTGGTGGTGAACACCTGTAATTCCAGCCCTTGGGAAGCTAAGACAAGAAGAAAGTTCAAGGTCAGTCTGAGCTACATTGCCAG